TCTACTTTAAAGAACGCTGAAAGCCAATGTAGCAAGAGGAAATCTTTATTCCTCCTACTGCCTTCAGTGAGGAAACAGGTTGAAAACAAATCAAGACCACGGATGTTGCTACTGGCTTCACCCTTTTCCTGTTATAAGTCTCAATCCCTTCTTAAACCTGAGCTTCATCTTCATTTTGATCCTTCATCTTAACCTTGACCCTTCATCTTAACTTTGACCTTGTGAGTCTATTTTTAGAGTGTCTGCAGTTTGCTCTTGGTCCCTGCCACACAACTTATCCAAAATAAAAGAATATTCTGCTCATCCATCCCTAGCAATTTCTCTAAGAAAAAGGGGTAAGGACCAGAACAAAAAAACAAACAAATGAACCCCAAGACCTTACAAATAGTTAATTACTAGGAAACCCAAGATAGCTCTACTCTCCCTGAACTCCTAATGGTAAACCAGAGTAAACATACCATAGGAAGGAAAGGAAAGCACTATACAAGACCTTGGAATCAAATAGATCTGGTTCTCAACATAATTCCCAGCTGTGTAAACTCAGACTAGCTTCTTAACTTGTACTCATCCCTTCATCTTCCTGAGCCTCCATCTATCAGGTGAAAAATATGACTACCCATACCATCTCCTCAATTGGTAGGGATGGTTGATTCATGAGATAATGCTTGTAAACCACTTAATAATGGCTAGCTCATAAAAAAAATCCTCAATAAATGTAGGTCACATGTACTAAGAAGTGAAAATTCAAAACCAAAGGCACAAATTCAAGACAATAGTCCAGAGAGAAGGCATCTTTGTATTAATTATGGTAAATAAGCAATAATTTACTCAGAACGAGGAAACCAATGTCTCATCCAACATCCAACCAATTTATATCAAAAAGCTGAATTCTAGAGCAGACAGTGCTTAGATTGTGTTGTTAATTAGGGAAAAGAAATAAAATAATTAGAGAGTGGTTTGAGCTGATTTATGATTTATTCCGGACCTAGAATGTACCATTGTGAATTTTTTTAATTGATCTTATTTTTTTAAATACATGACAGTGGAATGCATTACAATTCTTATTACACATGTAGAGGACAATTTTTCCTATCTTTGTATATAAAGAATGTTCACGTCAATTCATGTCTTGGTACTTTTTTTTTTATTACATTACAAAAGCTCATCATGTGGCCAATGGCATACTTAGACTCATTTAACTTTACATAAGTATGCGTTGTATCTTGCATCTCTTCATTAGCACTGAACTTGAAGAGTGTGACATTACTCAAAGCTTCAGACGCTAAGTCTGCAGTCAGCCAACACCCATGACTCTGGGACTGAGGTGAGGCAGAGCATCATGGTGGAAGGACATGGTGGAGGGAAGCAGCTCCACCTGGTTTGGACATGGCAAACAGGAATATGATCTTTGGATTTGGAAGTATATAAATGTAGATAACAAACATTTTTAAAATCTAGACCCTGAAAACTTCAAAGTCTGGTGAAAAGGAGTAGTAACATGTGGCTGGTAATTTTTTTTTTTGGGGGGGGACTACATACATGCAGGACATGGGAAAAAAACAGAAAACAAGGACAAAAAGTAACCTTTACAGAAACAAAATATTGCCCACAATTTAAAATTTCTGATATAATCAAAAATGTCAATGAAAGGCTCATCTCTGAAAGTAATTTGGCTTATGGTATGGGATCTCAAATCCAGCCAACCTAAAGCTTCTAATTCACACACATCTAAGCAGTTAGGCAGTTCTGTTATGTTTTTCTTGAACGGAAATAGAAAGATATAAGCATTCCTTTAGAGAATGAGTTATACAAGTCATTATAATATAATTCCTACCTTTAGTCAACGTATAATCTCTTCCAAGCATTAAAGTAATAAAAAAAGTTATTGGTTGTTCAGTCTCCATTTTTAAGAAAGCTTGAACATGAGTGAAAGTTACAGAAGCTGCAGAGTGAAGGTGACAAGCCACCAGGAAAAGTGGGGAACCAAATGTTGTCAACTCTTTTAAGTCTTGAGCCATGAAACATCTTTTTTTTTTTTTTCCAAATGTTTGAAATTCTCATTCAAAAGAAACAAATCTGGAAAGCCCATAATGGTAGCTCTTAAATCAGAGTTTATATTCAAGAATCCAGATTTGGGGAAAGGGCAGCTTCAAAGTGATAAGCCGTGATAGTAACTAATAAATGAAAAGAAATTTTGATAATTCTCTTTGTTTTCGTCTCTAGCAGATCTCTAGTATGTTGCTGAAAAAAAAAAAATCAAGAGGTCAATGGAGATAAAATGGTACTGAGTTGAATCCCAAGCTGGGAGGGATCTCAGTGATCATGTGTTCTACAAGCTCATTTGATGATGCAATTGGAGCCAAGTCCATAGCAAATAAAGAACAGATCTAGGTCTGGAATTCAGATTTCCTCATTCCTATTTCAGTATGCTGTTAATCCTTTCCTCTGACATGAAGAATAGAAAGAAAAAAAATATTATCAATTCTAGAGTCTAGCCCTCAGAACATTTCAGTTGCTTAGGCTTTCTGTAGAGAACAGGAACCAGGCAAATATTATACACAGTTAATTATCATTATTTATGGTAGTTATGTTCTCCAAAGTTGCCATGAAGATTGATTAGCTATTACCAAAAAATTGCTTCTAGCAGAAACACGGGGTTAGGTTCCTTTAAGTCTCTGTGTACAAAATCTTTCTCAACTGATCAATACGTAACCCTTTGCAGTTCTGGAAGCCTGGACAGTCAGAAGATCAAAGTATTCAGTGTGTAGTCTAAACCTTAAGAAATTACCATTTTTATAGGTTAAGCATGGTCCAAGATCAGGAGATTTGAAGAGGAATAGCAGGATGGAATTATTAGCTTCAGAACATTAAAAGATTTTAGCATGTGTTGGAGTGCTTGGAGCTGGCTGAGAATCCCAGGAGGCATTAGGGCCTAGTTCATAGCAGCTGCTGGGGTAAGTCTATCTGGAGGGGATCAGCCTGGAGGAAGGACAGTTCTCAAGCCTGATCAGGGCTACAACAGGAAGCTTATTCTAACCTTTCGTATTTTGAATTATTCTTTTTTCCTGGACAGGCACAGTGTGAAGTTGTCAAGGATACAAACAAAATTCAAAACAAGAGTGATGGAAGAAGGGGATTCGGGAGGGGAAGGTAAAAGAAAGAGAAAAAAACCCACACAAAGATTTCTTGATTAGACCTGACAAATGTAGCAGTTGTTTTAACTATAATTAAAGGCAAAATATGAAAACAGATGTTTCCTCATTTTAGGCACAGAGCATCATTCTTCATATCCTCAAAGTTCCTCTCATATGCCTGCCTTTAAGAATATCCTGCCATCCTGTCATCTAGGCCTAGAGCTGCATATGTAGATCCTAAATGTCCTGCAATAACTGAAGCCACCTCATTTGGGAAAGTTCTACCTTTGGAAATCAGGAGAAACCTAAGAGAGAAACTCAGCCAACTCCTCAGAGGAGAGCTTACTATGTGGATAGGTATCGACAAAGAAATACCTCAAAATTCTTCAGATATAAACGAAAATTAATCCTAAGGGACAAATGACAGATACTATAATTTTTTTTAGTATGGACTAGCTGAATATATAATAAATATATTAACAGTAAAAGTTGTAATCATATTAACAATATCATGAACAACTCTTGCTAAGTACTTGGAATACATTGTTTGACAAAATTTTCTTCAAAACTGTTTCTAAGATGGCTTTTATTCTTTCCAGTAAACTGATGCTTAGGAAGGTGTTTTGGTGTTTTGTTATTGTTGTTGTTTTGGTTTTTTTTTTTTTTTTTTTTGTAGTGGTGGTGCTGGGGATAGAACCCAGGGCCTTGTTCATGCAAGGCAAGCACTCTACCAACTGAGCTATATCCCTGGCCCAGGAAGGTGGTCTGCAAGGTCAATCAGTTAGTAATAGCTGTGATTATGATCTCAGCAAATTGATTCAAAAGCCAATGATCATTCCCTTCTCGTAACTCTGAGATCCAACAGTTAAAACTTCTGGCAATAAAGACCTTTAAAAAAAATTTTTTTTAATTTAAAACAAGGACACAGTTTATTATATTTATGAACAATTGGTGTAGAATGGGTATTCTGAAAACTAGGACTTTACTTTTAAGAGGGCAGTGTTCCAGTAGCTTATTATACCAGTGATATTTCTTCCTTCTTGATATCTCATGTCCAAAATCCAATTAAAGAATTTACAGAAAATTAAAATTAGAAAATTCGCAGGGATCTTCCTAATGTTCCAAAGAAGAAACCTCAGTGAGAACTGGGACAAGAGAAACCCCATAGAGAGCTGCCAGCCAATTACTGAGAGACACAGTCTGCCTAATTTTCATGCAAGCAAACATCATCACAGATGCTTTCAAAGGTCAAGTTGGAGTGAGTGAGGTAATGCTGTTTGGGGAGTGAAATAAACATTACTTCGATTTTGCTCTAAGTTTTTTTTTTTTTTAACGTGTTTTTGTTTTCCTTGTCTTACTAGCTCAATTTTGAATGCCCTGTTCTTTTTAATCAAAATCATCCTCTCCACCCCCATTTTTCCCAGTTTGTGTACAAAACATAATATAGACTTCCCTCAGCCTGCAGATTCTGTCAAGACCCCTTGCTTAGGTCGACACTATTTTCTTACAAGAGTTGGAGACTTTTAAGGGTGTGGAAAATGATGTTGGATTTGACTTGGCAGAACCTAGGAGACAGAGAAGGAAAGGTGGCACAGGAAGGGAAGGAAGGGTCTCCTGTCCAAATAATCTTGATTTCTAACCAAGAACATGACCCCAAGTTAAGCATTTTCATAGATAGTCTTAACAGTTTTACAAGAATTTTTTTTTCTGTCTTTCAAAATGTGCTTTCAACAGTTATACTGTTTTCAAATGAACTGAAAGAAGTACTGTGTTCAGGACAAGGATGGGCTATAGCATATGACTGGAGAGACACAAAAGCTGCTTTATTTCAATGTATGTTTGCCCTGGCAGGAATCTGGGACTTACCTGTACATAATCCACACTTCGACCCAGGGCTCTGAAGGCCGTGTACATGACTTCTCTTTTTCCACCCCATTTTTGCATGATGCAAACACTTTTGTTGGCCAGGACCAATTGGGTTACATGCTGAGAGCTTTCTTTATGTGACTCGTCTGTCTCACCAGGTCCCTTTTCGTGGAAGTTGTTCTTCCAGATGTAGGTAGCTGATTTGTCCCTGCCCATGACTTCACTGAAGATGTCCATCATGTAAAGGTCATCGTCCGAGTTCCCATCGATGACCATGACGACTTTAATCCCAGGGTAGGTTAGCCTCTTCACAGATTGCAAACATTTCCTTAAGTAGTCTGGATCTTCTTGATATGCAGCGATGCAAAGAGCAACAGTTTTGTTCAATTTAATGGGGGTTTCTAGGGATTTTTTCATTTTTCGGTGCTCCAAAAAGGCAAATAGGCTTTGGATGATGAGGTGTGATGCTAAAAAGGCACCATACAGTCCAAAAGAGAAATAGTAGTTATCCGTTTGGATAAATTGATAGCCAACAATATAAGCAGCTGTGATTCCAAGGAGGAGAGAGACTCCAAAAAGTGTGGTTCCAATTATTCTCAGGATGCATAGAAACCTCTCACAATGCATCTGCAATATAATCAAATGACACTCTCAGTTAACCATTCCTGTCCCATGCTTGTTATACACATGGTGTTAAGAGGGGGCACTACACAGAGCATGTAGATGTTCTACCACTGTTACTCCCTTCACTTACTATGTGACTTTCGGCACCCATTTTGCTCATCTGCAAGATGAGGCTAAAGACACCCTTCTGGCACAACTCAAGAATCCAATCCAGTAATGGTGCTATTGAAATATCATAATGTATTAAACCAATACCTAGATGTATTAAACAAATACCATAATATATTAAACAAATTTCTTTGCTTTTATCAGCACACACACATTGTTTTTAATGTGTCAGCCTCTCTGACTATAGTGTACTCTATGTGGTCATAGCTAGGCATAGAATCAAAATTTCTGAAGCCCAGCATAATCTTTCTTCCTGTACCAGCTTATCTCTTTATTCCTTGACACTGACAAGTTCAACACCCATGGAAGATTTTGATAAATTTCTTATGTCTAATTTCATCTCATTTCCAAAGCAAATCCTTCAATTTACGTCCTTTCCATGTATCTGGCTGAGATTGGAGATGGAGAAACCATATCCTAGCTCATCAATTAACTGTTTGAACTTTACTTTCAGAGCTTCATTTTGTTTGTTTTCAATCTGTTAATGAGGAAGTTTATCCTTGATTAACCCCAAATCTCCCACTGACACAAACAATTCTCTACTCCTATGTGTTCTGCACAATATTTTTCAAAGCCCTTGTAATTTTGAACTGGATACACACATCAAATATCTATCCCTTTCATCTATCACCATCAATCTTAGATGTTAGATCCTGCGGATCAGGAACCTTAGTGGAACACAGTAAGCACATATAAGTGTTTGTAGAAATAATGAATATATTCAAGAAGAAATAACATCATGCTTAATTCTAACAGGTGAGGGTGCATACTATTAAAAACTGAAGGATGTTAGACCTAAAACATGTTTTAGTTTTTAATTATAACCAGTTTTGTACTTTCTCCTACATTTTATGTGTCTCTTAAATGAGATTTTGAACAACTCAAAGCTAAGAGAGCCATTTTTCTGTTCTTTTCAAAAATAATTTCCAGTGCTGGGCATAGAAAAGATGCTTGGTAAACCTATTATGTCATTTTCCCCCTCGAAGTTTTCTTTCTTCCTCTTCTAAGAATGGACTATCATAAGGTCATAATTGATTAAATGTTCCCATCTTTGGACCTTTATATAAAAATTAGATATTTGTCTTATTTGTATATAACTAGTACTTAAACTTTTTCTTTGACTCAACTAATGTTTTAAAAACTAAAAAAGTTATTTTAAGTGGAAACTGGGGCTAAGATTTATCTCTGTAAAACCTCTTGCTTGATATGCATATTTATAGTTTCCTACTCCAAATCAAAATTTAAAATTGAATATCCACATAGAAATATAGTATCATCCTAGTTGTTGACAGTTGCATAGCCACCATATTTTTTCAGCTCTATAAAGACACCATTCACACATTCCCATTCTGTTCATGTATCAAAATGGTCCTAAGGAGATATGCATTCTACTTCTGCTAAACATTAGCATGGCTGCTTTTGTGTTACCTCTCTTTCCTAAGCACAGACTGTGTGGTACACCCATGACACTCCAGCCTCCTGAAATCTGAGATGTGCATCATTTAAGAGAGAGGATGTCCTCCTCCAATCGACCCCTTCTGCAGGCTGGGTACACACATTGACATCAAGGGCAGTGTAGAGTCCCATGATGGAGCTTGGTTTTTGAATTGCCTTATAGAAGGGAATCTCCCAAGAATCAGGATATCTGCTTGAACTCGGAGCCCAGCGCAGTGAGGCACTCCTATAATCCCAGCTATCTGGGAGGCTGAAATAGGAGGAGCTCAATTTTGAGACTTGATTGGTCAATTTAGCAATATTCTATCTCAAAATAAAATTAAAAAGGCTGAATGTGTAGTTCAGTAGTATGTGTGGGGCCCTGGGTTCAATCCCCAGTACCACTGAGAGACAGAGAAAGAGAAAAAGAGAGACAGAGAGAGAGAGAGAGAGAGAGAGACAGAGAGTGAGCCCACAGACAGGGGACTTCCCTTGCATTACAAGAAATGATTTCTGGATTTTTATTTGTTTCTGATTGCTGTTGTGCATTTGGGGGTTTAGTTTACCCTAGCTAGTAAAATCTAGGTAATACACAGCAGCCTAGAAACCAGGTTTGTTGTTGTTGTCATTGTTAAATGTAGATAATAATGTTTTTCAAAGACTCTTTACAGGGTTGCGCTGACTAGCAAAATAAAATCATTTGTGAAAGTGTTTTTTAAAAAGAAACACAATACAGTTTAACATATCTGTTTTAAAAATGTCCAAAACAAGCACAAATGTGTGTTCCACTTTTAGCAGCTGCATAGGACACCATACTGTGTAATATGTGTAATATTCGCCTAACAGAAGCGACCTCAACACAAATGGAAAGTTGAGACTACTGCAAAAGGGTGAGATGGTGAGATTTTGGTGAAAGGCAAGCAAATACAGCATCCCCTTAATTAAAACAGCTGACGGGGTGCTGAGCCCTCCCATAGGGCACGTTAACCAATGCCTGAAGGTGCTGGGAGCACCAGACTTGGAACTTGTCATTTCCAAGACATGAGTCATTCTCACAAGAGTGAAAAATTTCATGGGGACTAAAGCACTTTGCCAGGCAGAAGCTTAAGTGTGTATTTAGCTTGTGTTTAAATCACCATCACCAGCAAAAGAGCTGCCTGACATTCTTTTCCATTATTCACATTTTCCTTGCTTTTATCAGCACACGTGGACACAGAGAGTGGTCACATAGCATCTGCTGGCCACTGCTAAAGTGGGAACACCCTCTTACATCATGGGAGCCTCAGGATGTCCTTTTGAAGCCTGGGAAAAGTTACTAATGAACTGCAACCATGTCACTAAAATTGAACCCTTATATTCCTGCTCCATATCTCAGCATGGCCTAGTATGACACACAGCATTTCAGTACAGCCTAAAGGGCAAAAGGCCCATCTTAGAGCCAGCTTTGCTGAGTGAAGACATTGATCTCAGGGAGTGACACACAGGATGTGTTTTTTCTTTTATTATTCCCCTGGGTCATTTCACAGCTATGGGCGCCATATGTGTAAGACTTTGTGAGACAATCCCTGATTCATGTGTTCTGATTCGTAAGCATACTTTCCTATTAAAACAGGAGCATGGCTACATGGCTTTTCTGTCAAGTTGGAAAAACAAAGCCCCCTGCTAGATCATAAGAGCTTGCTTACTGTGAGACAGAAAGATTATTTAGAAATCTATATTCCACAAACACTTAAAATAGGAAAAAGTAATTTTTGCTCATTATCAGTCTTGAGCTTATCAAAAAATATTTAACCTTTAAATTGCTTTTGAACTTGACACCAATTATTTAATAACTTCTGTTGTCCACAGAACTGAAATCAAGGTAAGGAATGGCTTAATAGAGTGTAATGTAAGATCCATAAAGTCAATAGATACACACACACACACACACACACACACATCTGTTCTCAAAAGACATAAAACATTGCATGGTTTATACTATCTACTACTACCATTCAATAAATATCTGTTGAATGAATGAAATCCTATCATTCCTATCATCCTCGTTATGATGGCTGATAACATTCATTCATCATTTAGTAGATTTTAGTCAGTGAAGAAATTTTTTTGCATTTTGTTTTGTTTAGTAGCATGATCTTATTTAATCTTAGTGGCTTTAGGTGACAAATATATTCTTCACTCATGTTACAATATATGCATATGCCAAGGGGACCAAGAGGCTGAGTATGTAAATTTGCTATCGAAAGTCAAAAACCATACTAGGGGCACATACTATTCTAACATCTGACTCTTCTTGATAAATATTTGCTGAATAGAATTGAATTCTCATTTTAGGCAGCATCTTTTTGTTCTAATAAAATGGTGTTGTATAAGGGAGTTTGGGGGAAAACTTTGAAAGTGGTATCCCTGCTATTGTGGAAAGTGGGGGATGGGCACTTGCTCAAATACAGATCCTAGGCCAGCCAATGCTCAGAGAGGATTTCTGGTTTCACATGCTTTCCCATGTGAGTGCACCCTAACGGGACATGGGGATTGTTTCAAAAGAAGCTGCCGATTCCATCTATGCAACAGCAATTCTGCTTCTAATACCAGCAGCCAAAATTCTGTTTCACCATAAGAAAGGCATTACTGTTTCCATTGCGTCCACCTGTGGAGCAGATATAAAGCCTTGCTGTTGGCTCATATACCCCAAATGGGACTCTTTGGGTCATTGGGCCTCAGAGCCTTTTCCTCTGCCTTGACCTTTTTACATTACCCAGAAAGCAAAATGTTGGATGAAGGGAGAACAACAGCTGCTCTCAGTGCCCTAGTGCAGTGGTGAAAACCAAGTTCCCATAGTTTTCATAAAGTGCTTCTTCCATTTATTTATCAGCATCTCTGAAAGGCTGCAGAGATTAGGGCTGATGACCCTCTTGTGAGAGGTCACAGTTTACCACTCCTTTCTAAAATAATCCCCCACCCTGCAATCTCCTTACCCCCAGCATATGCTCACCCTTTGCCATGCTGGGTTTTCTAACTTGTTCCTGTGCACTCTCCAGAACACAGGGAATTATAAGTCTCCATAACCATTAGGTCCCTATACTGAAACCTACTGAAAGCAGGGTTTGGCACATAGAAGGTACTCAATAAATGCATTTCAAATGAATGCATAAATTCTTTTGGACTTAGGCAATCAATGTAGACAGATAGGCATGGGTCCCATCCCTGTCATCACTGCAGGAACACTGAATACATGCTGAGAGTCAACCAGGCCCTTAAGGTACCTCCCTTCCAATGGTTTTTCTTACTTTTTCTCCCCCATTACCATTTTTAAAAACAGCTCCATACTTTCTTGCTTAATATATATGAATGGCTGTAGGCAATACTAAACCAGTTCTAAAAACCTTTGGATAATAAAGACAGAAAACACACAAGAGCAATGTAAAGAAATTTTGAGCTGCAGTTTGAGCCATCTTATGATTTCAGGGGTTGTGTTTGGGACATGAGGAATAATGAGATCTTCTTTTATCAACCTGCAGTCCATTACCCTGGTATATGTATTGTTGACTAATCTATACAATGCTTTTGCATTTGGGTTCTAATGACTCAAGCACAAGTGTGCCTGTATGTTTTCTTTTCAATTGGAAAAATTTAATAACATTTACTAGACTAACAAAAGTTTTTAAATCATATACACTAGTGTTCAAAATCCACCTCTTATTCCAGAGAATTTGGCCTCCAGAACCAAACTCAATTGGGACAGAGTCCTAACTCTTTCTTTAATTAGTTGGTTGACCCTGACCAAGTTCCATAAGAGCTGACATCTTCATTTTCCTCTATAAAATGCAGCTAATCATACTGACTCAAACAACAGATGATGAGATTTAAAATGGAACTCATTTAAATACCTAAAATCTTCCCAGGTTATATTATTGTCCTATCAGTGACAATTACCTAATGAACCCAACTCTCCATCCCTTTAACCTATTGTTGATTAGATAACAAATAATAACTGTGTTATGATGAAAAAAAAATAGAAGAGTTAGGAATTAGAAGAAATGGATTCAGCCCAAGTCTTGCCTTATATTGGCAAACTGACTTTAAGCCAAACCTTGAGGGTTCTGTGAAGAAGTCATATGTTCTTGGACAATTTAATTATCTTTGAACTTCAAAATTTTTAGATATATGATCAAGACCCATTAAATTTAAAACTGCTACTACCATCACTGAGTGGCTATAAGCAGGATGGAGTTTATCTTCAGTATTTCACTTTTGTGCTCTTCATCACTGCCACCTGATGAGAGTAGATGGCAAATTCTTCCTCCTATCCACTCTTTAAGCTTCACTGCCTCATCTTTAACATGGGAATAATTTCTTTTTACAGGATTCTTCTAACTAGGAAGGATAGCATAAACAATGTCTAGCACTTGAAATATGTATGCATTCAAAAATTAATTATTGTGGGTATTATTGCTGTTGCAAACTAACATTTCAGTCCAAAGGAAGAGTAGCTGAAGTTAAAGGGCACTTGTACTTCCTCTCTTCCTCATTATATTTTCAAATCCACTGAAGACTAAGTCAGTGTTGTTCTAACTTATAGTCAGAATTTAAGCACACGAAGGCACAAACAATGATGGAAGACATTAAAGAATGTGTCTGTCCATAATGAAAGCATTGTTTGATATCATATCTCATCAACAGAACCAGTTCTAGAGCACAGGCTTTCTTTACATATAAACTTATGTTGTGTGCAAAGAGCAGGAAAAAGGCCTGTACCATAAGGAGAACAATTAGAATTGGGACTATTAATATATTCAGGTGACACCAGCAAAGACAATGGAAATCAGCTTCTTGGAAATAAATCATAATCTCATGGTGGCTATCTGCCTGTGAATGGTGGATTAGGAAGGCATAGTGAGTCAAAGATTTAAAAGTAGTATTTCTCAAATTGTGCTGAACATCCAAATTACCTGATGACTTGGGAAAGTCCCTGACATGTGGCTCTAACAACATTCTAAGTTAATTGAAAGGAATTAATTATAATCTCAGGAGATTCTAATGTGCAATAAAGTTTGGTTTGGCATTCACTGGGTTAAAGTCAAAGACATCATGCCTCATTTGCATTGATGCACATCCTTTCTGTGGATTCCCTCTGCTAATGTCCCTGTCTAGAAATCTGAGACAAAAATACTCACATGAAATCCCTCCCCGAAGTCTTCACATTAGAATACTTGCCCTCTGGGATACAGCGCACTGAGACCCCTTTCTTTTCTCCTTCTTCTGTCCTCCTCTCCCTGTCTTTGAAGTCTGCCTACAGTTTCAAGGCAGTTATACTAGCAAAGACCCTGGCATCAAGTTGGCAGGATTAGGATACAAGCCTTTTAAACACACCATCACACCAGTGGTAGCTGCATCCAGAGCCTTAGGTTTCAGATTTCTCTTTCTTTGCACCATCAATTTTAATCAATTACTCCTAGGATGCCAATACTCCCAACTGCTTGATTAGATCCTGAACTTTATCATCCTTAACTTACTTACCAATAAAGGGAACATTCCAAAGATTTGACATGAAATTTTCATACTATATTAAATGTGCAAGTATGTACTCTGCCACTGAGTATCTTCACTACTCATATTGAATCTTGAGAACTATCTTTGTAGGTCAAAATCATGGACAGTAAAAGGCAACACAAATGCCAAGTCTCTGTGTGAAATCTTTTCTGGTCCTCTCAAACAGATGTAGTTTCTTTTCAATTTGAGACCCCATAAAATTTAGCTAATCCAGCTGCAGTGTAGTACAGTTCAAGGGTATTATACTGAACTCTTGGATTAAACTCCATCCACATCCCTTACTAAAACTGTGACTTTGAATGAGTCACATAACTCATTTAGGTTTCTTCACAAAATATTCTCTTCAAATTAGGATAAGATACAATATACAGAAAGTGTCTACTTTGGGACCTGTAACATAGATATGTGATAAATAATGGCTATTATTTCTTATAAGCTATATCATATTTTGCTTTATGAAATTTTGGTTATTTGACTTTTTAATGTTTATTTAATTTCAATTTTTAATTACCTAAAATACAAATGTATTCCATTAAAAGACATCTATTCATAAATACTTAATTTAAAAATAAAACTTATTATATTTAATCAACTCATATCAATTACATTTTCCTAGATTGTAAGCAAGGCAGTATATACCTATGAATTCCACATAGATAACATTCAAAATATTCTTAAATGGGAACAGGTGATGTAGCTCAGTGGTAGGGTACTTACTTGGCATGTGCAAGACTCTGGGTTAAAGCCCAGGGCCCATAATATGCATGTATTCTTAAATAATTTAAGGCTACATGTGGTAGGGGATGATACTTATTCTATGCAGATTTCGGCCAGATAGGAAAGGAATAAAGTGTGGAGCTGTCCCCAGGCTGCTCTACCAGCTCATCCTGGCAGCTTTGTAGAGGAACATGATCTGGGTATGCATGCAAAAAAGGAGAACCCAAATGAAGACATGGGGTATATGCACTTCATGAAAAAGCCAGGAAGCTAATAATGCAATGACTTTTTATTTGATCTTAAGTTTAATGTATAACTGTCGGATAGACATTGTCAAAGCAGATCTCCACCTTGATCCTTAGACAAAGTGCTTTTCCTGCCTTGCCAATAATAGAAAAAGAAATGCATCAGTAAAAAGGTATGTGTTTTAAAATTTCAGAAACAAAAACATTTTAAAAGAAATCTTAGTTCACAAAGACATCCTGCAGAGAAAAGTACTATATCCTAAAGACCTAACAAAAATGATCATGTCCAAGCTAATTTACTTTCTACAAACAGCTTTTTATTGGTTTCTTGCATAATTCCTGTTTTCCAGGAAGGTACTTGACTAAGTATCTCCTTTTCTTTGAAGAGAGTCATAACTTTATTTGATGCAAGCCACCAACTTATTAAATCTTTGAATTTTTATATGCTTCATAACTATGTAAAGTAAGTTTTCAACTCTAGGTACAATATAAGCAATCCAGGTAGCATGCATCTGCCAGTATACCTACAATACATTTTCCTCTGCATTTGTCTCCGGTAATATATAAGCAAAAAGAGAATGGAAAGGATATTCTAGATTTAATCCAGAAACAATTATGTAGAATTTGGAATTTTTTTTCAGAATGCAAAGGCATACACAATATAGTATACATGCCAAAATAGGTATTTTAAGGTATTAAACTTTCATTGAAAGTGAAAAAAAGAATAGCCAAGCTACTAGGGAAAACTTCCGTGAAAGAGGATGGGTATTCAAAAAAACAGTATCTCCGCTGTATATGTAATTTTATTAAGTGTTTAAAAGGTATGTAGTAAAACTAATTTTATGAATGAGTCAACTTGCACATATTGGAAGAAAAAGGAGAACAAAAGTTCTTTTCAACCCAATTCTGTAAAATCTAAAATATCTACAAATATGTTGACGGGCGTAAATAGCTGTTCTTGCCCATTCTATAGAAATATATATATTTTAATTAAAAACCTTGTAGACTACCTATGAATATGCATTGACCATCAAAACTTTATTATTAGAATGACCTTTAAAAAAAATCACAATCCGGCTTAACACCTCCGAAGGCATATTATCATATGCTTTCACCCAGGGCAGTGAGAAATCTGAGGCTGCCTTGAAATCTACATCGGGGAGAAAAATCCTTCTCCCTCTTACCAGCCTCCCCAGTCTTCAGCAAAACCCGTCCACCAGCTTGCTTCGCGTTACTCTAGGCTGACTTGAAAGTCTACAGACACTCAGGCTGTGAGTTGAGGGGGAAGCCCTTCCTGACCAATCAGGGCTTCCCTACCTATTGCGTCACACCTCCCCCTGGGCATGACGTCAAAGGCAATCCCAGCCCAGCCTCTAGGGTTGAGGAGGTGTAGCATTTCTGTGCAGCTGCAGCGACCAACTTGGCAGCCACTGTTCTAATGGGCGGGGAACTGGGCAGGGAGGTGCCAGAGGGTTTTTGCCTAAACCCTCTGGGAGCGCGGCTATAGCAGCTTGCTCCCCCAGGAGCAGAAGCGCGCCAGTGCCTTTCAGTCCAAGAATTCAGCGCTGGCGTTTGGGGATGGAGGGAGAGGCTCTGGATGAAACTGGCACCTAAGGCCTTGAAATAAGATCGGGTTCCTGTAAGCCCTCCTCCCCAGGCACCGCCTCTCTGCTCCCAGCCCCTCTTGCCAGCTTTAATGATCCTTTCAGCGCCGTTTCCCCTCGCCTGCGTTTCCTCGGGCAGAGGAAGCAGCCTCTCTCGCCTCCCGGTTCGCACCCTAACACAGAACCTCCTTTCAGACCCGCCCTCCTGTTCACTGGGACCCGTTTCAGAGCGCTGGCTCCCTCTGGGCGGGAACTAGCGTGACGAATTCCGCCAAAGGTGTTGATTATCCACCCCAACTCTGCCTCTGGCTTCACTCCCACTTTCACCCGGGTTCCCGTGGGCCCCCAGCCCCCACCCTGTTGTGGGTGCTCGGGACGGCGCCCCCAAGACCTCCACCCAGTGGTGCCCCCAGCTGCAGCTGGGGAAAGAAGCGCCGGCGTGCTCGGTGCCACGTCGGAATTGGCTCCTAGGTCGCTGCAGCTGCCTGAGCGCAGCGCGCGGTCCCCTCGCACGCCCAGCCCCGGGCGGCGGGCGGGCCGGCGCTGCGCTGGGAGGAGAGATGCGCGCCCTCCTCCAGCTCCCAGCTGCGAGTGCCACCGCCTGCGTCAGGGACCCCTGGCCGGAGTAAGGCTTCCGGAGCTGAGCTGAGCTGAGCAGGGACAGACCCAGTCTGACACTTTAATGGGGTTTGGGAAGTGCAAAGGAGGGGAGGCTCGGTAAAGGGGGAGTGGCCGAGTGAGGCCGGTAGCTGCGAGGAGGTGGCGGAGGACCCTCCTTCTCGGGGGTCTCAGCTTGTAGGAGCTGGAAACCGGGATCGCTTAACCCTTTCATTCCAAGCAAAAAGCGAGCTGCTTAACCGTAAAACCCGCAGGACAGTTACAATGTGTGTGGGAAAAAAAGAAGAAGGAGGGAAGGGGTGGGGAGACAGGGGGGAAAGGGAAGGCTGTGCGGGATGCATTTTCCTTACACAGTGGAAATTCTCTTTTTCCTAACACAGAGTCCCTCTGTCGCTCCAGAAGATGCAGAATGGAAAAGTACATCTCGGGACAAACAGCGTTGCCCAAGAGAAGCTACCTGTGTACCCAAAAAAGCAGCGGATTTATGGCGAGAGCCGCAGGGATGGGAAAAGACGGATATGTTGCTAAACTTGATACTGATCGGAAATATTCTCCGATTTTCAATCTGTTGGAAATTTTCAGACCTCAAACTTTTCTATAGAAACTGATTTTTTTTAACATTCACATGGACAATTTCTTCCATGTCCCTGGCCTGAGGACCTTCATACTTCACCCAAACGCCTCTGTGTAACGTACCTTGTTCAGCTCTCGGTCATAAAGTCGTCCTCAGCCTGTCTGTGTGGTCCCGGAGGGTCGCTGGAAGGCAGTTTCCAAAATTGAGGTAATAAGAGATCAGATGAATTTGAGACGACCGGCCAAAAAAAATAAGAAATTTAAAAACAACATTTAAAAAAGATGGGGGAGTCTCAAATGTTTAGTACTCTCCCACTTTGAAAGGAAATTCACTAATATTCTTTTTATTATTTCCGTTGCACTTCAGTCTTCTAACTCTTTTTAAAAAAAATTTTTCAGTTTTAAAAAATAAATTAACTTTTTTTGTGGGTTCCAGTCCCCCTCCCACCCACCGATAACGGAAAGTCTCTTTTTCGTATTAAAAAAAAAAAAAATGCCGGTGAAGACTCAGCAGAACCCAGGAAGCGCAGAATCAATCGGGAGAAAAAGTCTTTGGCTAGGGCTGGTTCAAGTCCCTGGTTCAATGGGCTGCTCGAAGCCAGGACTGGGTAATTCTTTCCAGACGCTTTGACTTCTCCTTCCTCGCTGTTGTTGCCTTTCTGCCTCCTCCAACTTAAGGGGGTCTTAACAAGTGAGCTGGTGGGTGTTTTAATAGGGCGGAGGAGGGAGTGGGGGGTTAGGGGAGTGGAGGAGGGAGGTGTGGACTGGGGAACCCGGAGGGGAGGGAACTGGGAGCGCGGGCGGGCGGGAGGGAGGCGGGGAGGAGGAGAGGGAGAGAGAGAAATTGGCCATTCAAAGCCCTCTCTGAGCTAGAGGCCGGTTCTAAACTCCAATGAATTCAATTAACTTGATTGTTAACGTGTGCAGAGAAATGCAGTGCCCACATGCTGGCCGCCACCTGATTCCCTCCTCTCCTCCAGCGGCGGAGCTGGGAGACCCTCTTTGTAGATGTTTCTGAAGTCTTGTCTGAGCTACACGCCCTCCCGATACGCGATAAACTCCCTGTTACGTTTAGGTAATTTGCTTTAAAGACAAATGATGCCCCGGGCAGGGACTGTGACGGTGGGTGTGTGTGTGTGTGTGTGTGTGTGTGTGTGTGTGTGTGTACGCGCGCGCGCGCGCACCTGGAGCCTCGGAAAGCCTCCGGGACCCCCAAAAGAAGGCGAGTGGTCTAGAACTTGTTAACCCTTTCTTCCTGCCAGCTCAAGTTTTTAAGCTGACATCAAACGTCAAAGCCTCCCCTTTGTCAAACCCTCGCTGTGGGTGGGCGAAAAAAAAAAGTAGAAAAGTATTGTATTTTTTCCCTAAATATGGTCCTTTAAGGTAAAAATAAGCAAATTGAGAACATTAAAGATAAAAATTTAATAAAACATCGAGTCTGGAGAAGTCGATACAGCACTCTTAAAAACAGTTATATATGTGTATATATAGCCATCTCTAAGGAAGTGGATGACCTTCCTTGCGAGTTTTCTGTGAAGCTGGCGAGTCAAAATTCTTACTCTTTTGCTACTAAGTTGGCTTTTCATTTTTTTTTTCTAATGTCCCCAAAGTTAAGTAGAGTTTATTTTCTCGGATACTTGCCCCCTTTTCTTTCTCCTTGGTCCTTGCTAAAAAGTCTGATAACGACTTAAAATGGACAGTAGGTGGCACTGTTTAGGAAAAAATGAGTGGATTCACAAATGAACTGACTTGGTTTTGGGGGGGACTGATGAAATTGTTAACAGAGTAAAACATTTTCTTTTTTTCTTGGCCTCTTTTTCTTACTAGGGCCCTCTGAGGTGTGCATTTCATTCGAACTCGACCAAGCCTTGATAAATTATTGGCCCATGATAAGGATCACATATAATAAACGTGGCAATAATGAACAAATCAGACAGAAACAGAAATAGAAAAGTCCGATAAACTGGGGGTGATGCTTTCAATACGTCGTGCAGGGTGTGGTGTTGGGAGATGTGAAAAAGCGTTAAAAAAAAATTTTCTCTGCAACCCCAGGTAGCCAGCCAGCCAGCCCAGCCCCCAGGCGGACCTGCAAAGTGTTCCACCTTTCCAACCCTGCCCCACCCCCACATGCAGCGGTTACACCTCTGGGAAGCTTTACCTTGGCCCCTTGACTTCACGCCGCTCTTGGGAGACCCACTTACTCATTTCCCCAACAAAACTTCTTGGTTTGAGCCTTTGTCTGAACTCTGCCTGAGGTGGTTCAATTTTAGACAGACTGGCTTAAATTTCAGAGCAATTTCATCTCACTTAATCAGACTTGAGCTTCCTGATTTTTTTTTTTTTTTTGCCTCTTTGGTCGTTTTCAAATGCTAAATTATAATTGAAAATATATCCCCTAATTCTATACTCCTACATGTGATGAGAATTAAACTGATGTAGGAATAGAGTGGACATTGTGGGGTGCCCACCGCCTGCCTGTGAGACCTTCAAGAGACATTTAATCTCCCAGCTCTAAACTTCCAGGGATATTACATGTAATGCAGGAATGCCAACTATTGCTTAGTAGCATTTAACTTTTCCTATGCTAATAATTCAAGCAGTGAGAACATTTAGTAAAACTGAAATTTCTTTATTAAAGGGAAAAACACATTTATTCTTTCTCCCCTTGAATTTATAATTCATGAGCCATAAAGAAAAGGAACGTGTCCTCTAGCTATGGATGGATATAAAAGTTGATATACATCCACACATTTCTCTCATCCCCTCTCCACCAAGGGAATGGGGAAAAGGCCAACACAACTTAAAGCCAGAGGATTAAGTTCCTTGTATGCAAAAGGGATCCGAAATAAAAGAGATCTTGCATGCAAATCCCATCTTTAATGTTTGTGGGATCCTGGAAACACATTTCATCTCCCTGGACCTTGATTTTCTAGTTGATAAGTAGAGAAAAATACCTGCCTTGCATAGTTGTTGTAGTGACGGGCAGAATGTGTTAGATGTGAAGTGTCTTCAATGCTATGGACATACTCAAAAAGCATTAGAGCATTATTCCTTAAATTTTTGTTGGTAAGTGTGTTAGCTTTCTGTTACTGTGACAAAATGCTTGAGATATACATCTTATGTGGATGAAAGATTTGGCTCACAGTTCCAGAGGTTTCAGTCTATAGCCTTTTGGGCCTCATTAGTTTTGGGCCCTGGAAAGGGAATATATCTACCTGGTGGAAGAGGCAGCTGGGAAGCAAAAAGAGAGACAGAAAAAGGGTCCAGGGTCCCAATATCCCCTTCAAGGGCATAGACCCCAGTGACCCAACTTCCTTCCACGAGACCCTACCTCCTAAAGATTCCACTGCCCCCCAAAAGCATCCCAGGCCAGAGAAGTCTTTAACACAGATACTCATTCAAAGCAGAGCAGGAAGCATCACCAACTGTTTTGTCCTGTGCTCACTCATGTGACCTGCTTCAGCTTTCTACCATCTTCTCACTGAGCTTCAGATTGAGTTATTCTGTGTGCCCATGGACACATCCCAAAACTTCCCATTTAATCCAACTTATGAGTTTCCCGTCTGAATTTCAGCTACCAGTCAGCCAGTCTTGGTTCGTAGGCACCAAATTAAGAGATATGAGCTCCAGAGTCATACATTATGATATGAACCAATTGAATAACATGGGACAACTTGCATTTCAGCTTTCTTTCTTAAACAGGAATTGCTTGGATCACAAGAACGTCATCTTGTGATCCAAGCAAATAATGTCATCTTTCTTCCACCCACTTCAGGTTTTGACATCCTAAGACCTAACTTTTCCAATCCATGTATTTGGAAAAGTTTTTGTTAATGTGTTTTATGTGTTCAGCTTTGCAAGACAACAGAACAAATGACTTCAGACAAAGAACTTTTACCTAAGGTGATGGGAGTTAGCAGTACGTTGTTTCTGATCTCCCTTTCAAAATACAAAACAATGGTCATATGTCTGATATAAACAAAGTACCCATAACCAGGGACTTAGTACTTCATAATTCTCTATGTAAATGGTTCTTACACTTTTGGGTAAAGAACTTCTTTATACTCTTAAAAATTATTGAGAGCTCAAAAAATATGCATTGATATGTTATGTTTATCAGTATTTATCATATTAGAAATTAAAGTTGACTGAAAAGTTTAAAGAGGCATATTAATTAATTTAAAGCAATAATAAACCAAAATATATGTCAACTTAATAACATCCTTTTTGTGAAAATAACTCTTTCAAAAAAATATTAGAAAAGTAGGATCGTTTTCTAATTTTGCAAAGCTCTTTACTGTTTTGGCTTTATAGGAGATAGCTGTTTTCTTATATTTTCTTCTCATTAAGTTGTTGTTTTGATTGAAGTATATGAAAAAAAAACAAGTTCTGACCTCATAGAGATATATAATTCAAAATGGAAGAATAATTTAATCGCCTATTTACACGTTCTTCTTTGATACTACATCAAAACCTGGTAAACTGTTATGTTAAATCTAAAATAGTGTAGAGAAACTTCATCTTCTCTGCTACATTAAAATATGTTGGTCTGTCTTACACTTCAAATGCATCTTTTGCTCATCTCAGTGGCAAGTGCCTATAATCTCAGACACTTGGGAGGCTGAGGCAGGAAGATTGCATGTTCAGGACAGTCTGTGCAACTTAGCAACCCTGTTTAAAAAAAAAAGGAACAACTGTTTATGAATTTGTGATGTCATGTATTGATTATTTGAAAAAGATGAATTTACTGAGATTTGCAGATTTTCCAAATGTTGATGCATTTTTCATTTTCAATATTAAAAACAGTCACAATTTTAAGATCACCAATTTTTATCTAATTGTCTATCCAATAAATGTTATTCTGACATTGTAACACTAATTTTCTAAATTCTAATTTTCTCTTAGGACCCAGTATTTTCATTATCAACAAATACAATCCAATACTCTCATTGCGGTGACAGATCAATTCATTTAATTAAAAAAAAAAGTCTTCAGAATACCTTAGTCTGAATAATAGGAATTGGTTTGTTAGTTGTTCTTTCAAGTGATGTTCCATGATTAAAATGGCCAGCTTAGCTCACAATTCAATCACAGGAGAGTTCTTCCTCCAGACAGCTGTCATAGCTGAATACACTTTTCTGTACACTTTCCACTTTCCAACAAGGAATAGTGAAAAGCCATAAACTCCAAAGTTAAAATTTAATGAAATTAATAACTTGTACAACTTCATCTAGGACCTTACATGAAACTTGCTTTTTATTTCCCTGGGAGTACCTGTGTGGGCCACTAAGCCAGTCAGCACCCCTAAGTACACACTCCTATACCTAAGTAGAGAAAGCTCCCACCCCTTTAAAAGATCATTAACACACCTTCAAAGTTGTTCTTTCTTTTAGTTAAAACTTTTTGAAGAAACGTATGAGGAACCAGCTCAGGTCACTACCTCACTCTGATTCATTCTTTTAGGCCACCCAGAGTACACTTGTCTCTGTACTAAAGTGAGCATGCCCAGAGCATTGGTATGGACCATCTTTCCTTTTGGAACAGGTGTTCTAGAACTTAGAACTGAGCATGCCCAAAACAGTGTTCACCTTTTCCAACTAGGACCTTAAACCAAAATGCTCAGAAATGTACACTTAAATGAGCGTGCTCAGAAACACAACCATCCTTACCTGTGCTTTCCTAAATAGACATGTGTATCTTCCCTGAATGAAATCCCCATCCCCATGTTTCCTTTTTTCCATGCGAGCATTACTTTGCAAATAACTTCTCTGCACTCCTTACTCCCTGTGGG